ATGTGTATGTGTGTGTGTGTGTGTGTGTATGTGTGTGTGTGTGTTTATGTATGTGTGTGTGTGGGGTGTGTGTGTGTGTGTATGTGTGTGTATGTGTGTGTGTGTGTGTGTGTGTGTGTGTTTTGTGTGTGTGTGTGTGTGTGTGAGTGTGTGAGTGTCTACCCTTTTGTGTGTGTGCTTGTGTGTGAGGGAGGGAGGGTTACGGGGGGGTAGGTGGTGTGGTTGAAAGATCTGTCGTTTAAGCACAAATTTAGTCTCATTTATCTTTCCCAATTATGCTACTCTCTCCACTTATTGCCCTTTCTGGATTTACGTATTAATTGTTGCTGGTTATCATTTTCCTTGTTCACATTGAGAGAGGACTTCCTAGCTTCCTAAGTATTCTTACTGCTAATAACTACCGGTAGTAACACTGCCTGTGTGCGTGTGTGCATATGTGTGTGTGTGTGTGAGCGTGTGTGTGTGTGTGTGTGAGAGTATCTTGTGCGGTGTAATGACTGGCCGCAACTTCTTGTGACCTGACACAACCCTCCTGGGACTTGACCCTAGCACCATCTTACAATGTTGCCCTTAAAAGCTTGTCCCACCTACCTTCTCACACTCGTCAACACTATATTCATTATGTCTGTGTTATTTCTATTCTAATTCTGGTAATAGCTTGCAGGAGTGAGTGACCAGTATCAAACAGTATGCAAGGCCAGCCAGGGCCGTCAACATGCAAACCACAAATAGGCGAATAAACTTGCGCTGCAATGGTGCGGTGACAGGTTGCCAGCTGCTGATGGCGGAGTCGTCGTACGTAGGCCTTAATCCCTATTTTGGAGATCCTTCACCCGTGATGTTTATAACCATATATTCTCATACATCCCGCTTCCTCACGCGATTTCACTCTTCACTGATGATAGTATACACTTCACATTATATACACTTCACTTTATAAGTATAATGGCACACAACTTGTCGTGACGTCCCTTCTTCAGGCCTATTGCTGCCAATGTGGCAACAGCGCCTAAGACCCCCAACGGTTTGCGCTTTGAAATATTATGATTTCAGCTTTCCTCTCACTTTCTTTAACTAATAACTTTAATTATCACTCGTAGTATTGTTCACTGATGTTCCACTACCACTGATTACTGCTAGCTGTTATTGCACGCCTTACAACGCTAAGGTCCTTGGAGCCTTGTTACCCACGTCTGCACCCCACGGACCCACGTGTGTGTGTGTATGTGTGTGTGTGTGTGTGTGTGTGTGTGTGTGTGTGTGTGTGCGCACTCACCTAGTTGTGGTTGCAGGGGTCGATTCACAGCTCCTGGCCTGCATCTTCACTGGCCGCTACTCGGTCACTCTTCCTGCTCCATGAGCTTTATCATACCTCTTCTTACAGCTGTGTATGGATTCTGCCTCCACTACATCGCTTCCCAAACTATTCCACTTCCTGACTACTCTGTGACTGAAGAAATACTTCTTAACATCCATGTCATTCATCTGAGTCTTCAATTTCCAACTGTGACCCCTTGTTGCTGTGTCCCATCTCTTGAACATTCTGTTTCTGTCCACCTTGCCGATTCCTCTCAGTATTTTATATGATGTTATCATATCCCCCTATCTTTAGTGTCCTCCAGTGTTGTCAGGTCTATTTCCCTTGACCTCTCGTCGTAGGACATGCCCCTTAGCTCCGGAACTAGTCTTGTTGCAAACCTTTGAATTTCTCTAATTTCCGCACGTGCTTCGCTAGGTGTGGATTCCTAACTGGTGCCGCTTACTCCAATATGGGCCTAACGTACACAGTGTACAGGGTCCTGAATGATTCTTTATTATGCCGGAATGTTGTTCTTTGGCTTGCCAGGCGACCGTATGCTGCAGCAGTTATTTGGTTGATGTGAGGTTTGTAGTCTCTGGCCCCCTAGGGTGTGCTCCGTCTGCGGTCTTGTTTGACCTTTCCCAGTCTTCATGACTTTGCACTTGGTGGGGTTGAACTCCAGGAGCCAGTTGTTGGACCAGGCTTGCAGCCTGTCCAGATCCCTTTGTAGTTCTGCCTGGCCCTCGTCCGAATGAATTCTTCTCATCAACTTCACATGATCTGCAAACAGGGACATATCTGAGCCACGTACCATGACTCGCTTTTGTCTTCCTGACAGGTATTCCCTCTTCTATTGCAGTACCTTCCCTGTTATCCCTGCCTGGTCCTTCAGTTCTTTCACTAATCTCTTGTGTCAAACGCCTTCTTACCGTCCAAGAAAATGCAATCTACCCACCTCTCTCTCTGATCTTACTGCTGTCACCCTGTAATAGATGTCCAGTAGGTTTCTGACACAGGACTTCCCGTTCCTGAAACCGTGCTGGTTGTTGTTGATAAGGTCATTCCTTTTCAGGTGTTCCACACTCTCCTGATAATCCTCTCAATGACTTTTCATACTATACATGTCAGTGGCACTGGTCTGTAGTTAAATGAAACCATATTACGGATGGGGTTTGAACCCGCGGTCAGAGTCTCAAAACTCCAGACCGTCGCGTTAGCCACTGGGCCAGCTAGTCACCTAGTAGGATGAATCATATTGTGGCTAGCTGGCCCAGTGGCTAACGCCACGGTCTGGAGTTTTGAGACTCTCTGACCGCGGGTTCAAACCCCACCGGTGGTATAGTTTATTTGCAATCGTGTCATTACGATTTCGTGAGTTCTGTAGTTAAATGATTCGTGTCTGTCTTCTCAGGTAGTAGCCCGGTTTCGATAGATGTGCTGAAGTGTGTGTGAGTGTGTGTGTGTGTGTGTGTGTGTGTGTGTGTGTGTGTGTGTGTGTGTGTGTGTGTGTGTGTGTGTGTGTGAGCGTGTGTGAGAGAGCGTGTGTGGGGTGCGGAGACAAAAAATAGAATTGCATAAACCCCCCTGGTTGTCCCTCCCACGACTTCAAATATTCGGCGAGTGTCTCTTAATATACAGAGAGAGGAAATTGAACCAGAGGCTGATATCTGAAAACTGTTGAAGAAAGTAAGTGGTTGTGAGGATGCTGCTGGGAGAAGTTGTTGGTGTTTGTGATGTTGCTGGGAGAAGTTGCTGGTGTTTGTGATGTTGCTGGGAGAAGTTGCTGGTGTTTGTGATGTTGCTGGGAGAAGTTGTTGGTGTTTGTGATGTTGCTGGGAGAAGTTGCTGGTGTTTGTGATGTTGCTGGGAGAAGTTGCTGGTGTTTGTGATGTTGCTGGGAGAAGTTGCTGGTGTTTGTGATGCTGCTGGGAGAAGTTGCTAGTGTTTGTGATGTTGCTGGTGTTTGTGTGCTGTGGGAGAAGTTTGCTAGTGTTTGTGATGTTGCTGGGAGAAGTTGCTGGTGTTTGTGATGTTGCTGTGGAGAAGTTGCTGGGATTTGTGATGTTGCTGGTGTTTGTGATGCTGCTGGGAGAAGTTGCTAGTGTTTGTGATGTTGCTGGGAGAAGTTGTTGGTGTTTGTGATGTTGCTGGAGAAGTTGCTGGGTTTTTTGATGTTGCTGGGAGAAGTTGCTAGTGTTTGTGATGTTGCTGGGAGAAGTTGTGGTGTTTGTGATGTTGCTGGGAGAAGTTGCTGGTGTTTGTGATGTTTGCTGGGAGAAGTTGCTGGTGTTTTGTGATGTTGCTGGGAGAAGTTGCTGGTGTTTGTGATGTTGCTGGGAGAAGTTGCTGGTGTTTGTGATGCTGCTGGGAGAAGTTGCTGTGTTTGTGATGCTGCTGGGAGAAGTTGCTGGTGTTTGTGATGTTGCTGGGAGAAGTTGCTGGTGTTTGTGATGTTGCTGGGGGAAGTTGCTGGTGTTTGTGATGTTGCTGGTGTTTTGTGATGTTGCTGGGAGAAGTTGTTGGTGTTTGTGATGTTGCTGGGAGAAGTTGCTGGTGTTTGTGATGTTGCTGGAGTTTTGGGTGTGATGTTGCTGGAGAAGTTGCTGGTGTTTGTGATGTTGCTGGAGAAGTTGTGGTGTTTTGTGATGTTGCTGGGAGAAGTTGTTGGTGTTTGTGATGTTGCTGGGAGAAGTTGTGGTGTTTGTGATGTTGCTGGGAGAAGTTGTTGGTGTTTGTGATGTTGCTGGGAGAAGTTGCTGGTGTTTGTGATGTTGCTGGGTAGAAGTTGCTGGTGTTTGTGATGTTGCTGGGAGAAGTTGTTGGTGTTTGTGATGTTGCTGGGAGAAGTTGCTGGTGTTTGTGATGTTGCTGGGAGAAGTTGCTGGTGTTTGTGATGTTGCTGGGAGAAGTTGCTGGTGTTTGTGATGTTGCTGGGAGAAGTTGCTGGTGTTTGTGATGTTGCTGGGAGAAGTTGCTGGTGTTTGTGATGTTGCGATATTGAGACGTTCTCCTCTCGGTGTATATTTACACTGACAGACGTTCCCCTCCTTGTGCGTTTATTCTTCTACTCATCTTTTTGCCATTCTGATTTACCTTTACTCAGGGCATCATCCTATGCCCTTATTCCCCTTCTGGGCATTCCTCCATACCCATCTGAACTCTAGAGCATCTCTTATATTAAGGGTATTCTCCCACTCCCTTACATCAAGGGAATCCTCCCATTACCTAACTCACACATTACTCACATCAAGGTATTCTCCAAACCTTTACACACATCAAGGGTATTCCCGTTCCTTTACACACATCAAGGGTATTCCCGTTCCTTTACACACATCAAGGGTATTCCCGTTCCTTTACACACATCGAGGGTATTCCCGTTCCTTTACACACATCAAGGGTATTCCCGTTCCTTTACACACATCAAGGGTATTCCCGTTCCTTTACACACATCAAGGGTATTCCCGTTCCTTTACACACATCAAGGGTATTCCCGTTCCTTTACACACATCAAGGGTATTTTCCGTTCTCTTACACACATGAAGAGTATCCCCCATTAAGACGTACACACATTCATCAGTGTATTAAAACATACCGTTCTCCATCAATCTGTAAGACATACTCACCTTCATCAATTTACTAAGACATACCCACCAAGAATCAATTTAAACATACTTACCTGCAAGAATCAATTTAGACATACCTGTAGTCGTTGGTGTCAAGGGATTTGCCGTCTTTGGCAACGGTGAGGGAGATGGGGGCGTCGCCCCTCGCCTCACACTGGAGCTTAACGCTGTCTCCACGACGGACCTCCACCGACCCGTCCCCGGAGACCGCAGGGGGCGCTGCAGGGACGCACCCACACCCCGTCAGAAGGGAAAAAATGATTGTTCACAGCGAAGAATACATAAGGAGAGCAAATTGTGACAGGATAAGAATACAAAAAGGGAGTATCAGTAATGCGGGTATCAGGCGAGTGTTCATTAGAACACAAAACTGGTGCTGATTGTTACACAAAGTTATTTCATTACTACTTCGGTGTTGCCTTAAAAAAAATCACAGTAAATGGGTGATATCACACGACTCGTGAGTCAGACACTTCATCCTTCACCTACGCCGGGAAACATGTTCTGACATCTCAGAACATTCGCCTACAGATTATGCATATCTTTGCATGACCAGCATGTGCTTGTCACAGCCGGGCACACCAGCAATTTTAATTAAGTATGGTACTAGCTATTTCATTCTTAACCATCTTAATATTGGTCAACACGATATATTTAAAGTGTGTTTACAGTCTTCGGAAACTAGCAGAGAATCACACTCTGACACCTCTGACCACTACCTGGAAGGTAGGGGCTGCAGGGTCAACGCCCGTGCGCCCAGTCCGTAACCAGCTACCACATAACTTAAGGTGGCTAGCAGAGGCTAGCATGTGATTCACAGAACCGGCTACACCACTCTTTGTTCGTAAATATTTTGCTTATTTTTGCTAACTATAATCATCTTCAATATGTGTCATACTCTGGTATGTCAGTGTAGAAACACCGTTGATATACCTGTCAAAGGTCACCTGACGTTAGTAACCACAACACAGCAACAATACACATCTAATATCCCATATATATCAAATACAAGGGTAGTGAAAACTTCCAAACAACTGCTTTGAAAAATCTGTAAATGTCATGCTCATTAATAGACTATAGATCTATAAAAAAAATAGCTGGCTAGCATGGAAACATAATGCATAAAATACTAATAGAGATTCTTTTTGACAATACACTCAAAAGAGTGCTATTAACCTGTATTACTGGCTAGTTCTGTATATTAGACTCCTTACGTAAAGAAAAAATAGAATAAATTATAACAAGAAAAATTTTTTTTACTTAAAATATGTATAAATAATTATATAAAATGTTAAACAAACATGAAATTCTCCCAACTGAAGCAAATAATGGAAAATATGATACATTAATACCGTAAAGCTAAGCTAGTATATACAATGGACAGATGGAATACCGATGTGCCGATGGTTGTGGTAAGTAGCTCTCAGGAGTCACTGTGTGTGAACGAGAAGTCTGTGTGAGACAAGAGTCGCTGGTGGACGAGACTTCTGTTTAAAATTCATCTCTAGACTGAGAGTACAGAGGCCAACAGATCTTTCACCGGTGGAAGATGCTGGCTCTGTGTACCCGATGATGGTTGGCTGATGGGTTTTGAAAGCAACAGATGATCAGTTACAAAGGGTAAAGAGGAGACACACTGCTGTGTCCAGTTAGAGATTAGGTTTCTGATCTGTTGCATAAACCAAGTTGCCCGCCTTGTCTCGCTGATGTCTAGTGACCCAGATCAAAGAGACTTGGTGGGAGCAGGAAGATAAGTAACATCCAGTATATTAGGATGATCCCAGACTAACTTTGACCTGGTGAAAAAAAGTGGTGGAGGGTAGAGAGGTAACGATGCATGCCCAATACCCAACATGAATTCAGCCATTTGTACTACCCCCACCAATCAATCATGCTTCCACTCTTAACGAACTTTCCCCTCACAGGCATTTTATATTCCAATAGACATCGTATCGTGAGAAACATCTTTTAACATAAATAAAATACCCTACACTGTAAACATTTCAAGAGGTGGGACCCTTCCTGTATCATATAAAGCTGAATGACAGTTAAAACTTTAATTGAATTCTCAGAAATAATAACTGGGCAATGTCTAAATGTGAAAAATATTACAGTATAAAGCTTTAATTAACGAATAATACCAAAGAAATTATAGATATTACCTTTGGAAATAGGAATTTGGTAATTATCCCAGTATATAAACCACGTCAGCAACTGTTGAGGAATTCACAGAACAGTTAAGGAAGATAGATAGCTGTCTGGATAGGCTAGAAAATCCCACATGTAAAATTGAAGATGGGTCAACACAATGTTTCATCAGAAATTACTCCCGAAAGCACCCTGGCTCATCAGGCACACAGCAGGGAACTAATGAGGCTTTGTGAAAAGTACTTATTGGACCAACAGATAACTGATCCCACTGGAAATGAAAATATCCTGGATCTGATATTCACAAAAAACGAGGAACTAATCAGAGACATAACAAATCCAAAACCATATAATCTGACCACAACATCAAAGAAGTATAAACGAGTATAAACTAAGGATTTAGGGAACTGCAGCACTAACGGAAGTGAAGCGAATGTCAGTAAGTTTGATCTCAACAACCAGAGAATTGACTGGGAGAAAATCAAGAATATCAGATATATATATCCTGGGACTCACACAGGAGCACCCTAAAGCCCTACCAGAACTGGACCATTGGTGAGAGGAGACTCGTATACTGACGATGAACAGGAAATGAGCGAAATCCTAAAAGAACAGTATGAGCCTGTGTTCAGCAACCCACTAAATGACAGCAAGGTAGAAAATGCAGAAGTATTTTTTCACTCCAGCAGAAGGGTGGGAATGGATAACATGCCCACTCAGCACCTGGATCATGGAGTGCCCTATTTATAAAAAAGTGCAAAGTACCACCAGCATGAGCCCTTAGTATTGTTTGGAGAAAGAGTATAGATCTAGGTGCAATACCAGAGACTAAGAAGTGCAGACATAGTTCCATCACATAAGGGACCAGTAGCCCTAACTTCCCGCATCATAAAAATCTTCGAAAGAGTTATGAGACGGCAGATTGCAAATTCCATGGAACAACACAGCCGGCTTAACACAAACCAGCATGGTTTTAGAGCGGGATGATCATGCCTGTCACAGCTGCTGAACCATTATGACAGAATTACGAAGGTGTTGAAATGCAATCAAAACGCAGATGTGATATACACAGATTTTACAAAGGCATTTGAGAAATGCGATCATGGGGTGATACCTCACAAAATGAGGGCTAAAGGCATTACGGGGAAAGTAGGCCGATGGGTTCCTAACACAAACACAAAAAAGTAGAAGTAAACAGTGGTAAAAAGTTGAGTTTCCCAGGGCACTGTATTGGCGCTGCTGCTGTTTCTCATCCTCATAGCAGATATAGATAAAAACACCCGTCACAGTTTTGTATCATCATTTACTGATGACACTGAAATAAACATGAAAGTCACTACGGTAGAGGACACTGAAAAACTGCAGAAAAATATAAGAAGTGTTTTCCAGTGGGCAGTGGAAAGCAACATGACGTTCAATGATGATAAGTTCCAGCTGCTTAGGTATGGAAAGAATGAAGAACTCAAGAGAAACACCGTCTACAAAACTCAAGAAGATCATCAAATACAGCGAAAGGAACACGTGAAAGACTTGGGAATAACAATATCAGCTGATCTTTCTTTCAAAGAACATAAGACAAAGGTCTCGACAATCAGGAGAAAGACGGGGTGGGTATTGAGAACTTTCAAAACAAGGGAAAATAATGCCATGGTGACACTTTTCAAATCGCTAGTGCTCCCTCATTTGGAATATTGCTCAGTGTTGACGGCCCCGTTCATGGCAGGAGAAATATCAGAGCTGGAACAAATACAGAGATCGTCTACAGCTCACATAGAGCCAGTAAAGCATTTAAATTATTGGGAACGTCTTAAAATATTGAAAACGTGCTCACTGGAGCAGAGGAGAGAGATATATATGGTAATATATACCTGGAAAGTACTCGAGGGCTTGGTCCTAAATCTTCACACTACCATAACAACATACTGGAGCTAGAGATAAGGGAGGAAGTGCAAGATAAACCCAGAGAAGAGAAGGGATGTGTGGCCACAATAAGGGAATACACTATCAACATTCGTGGCCCCAGATTATTCACCATCTTACCAGAAGATATCAGAAACACTGCTGGAAAAAGTGTAGACGTCTTCACGAGAAAACTTTACAAGAATCTTCACCAAATGCGAGATCAACTAGACTGTGATGGATATGCGAGGAGGCGAGCCTTCAACACCAACAGCCTGATTGACCAGGTAGTAGAAAAAACTCGAAACACATCAAAGATATAGTCACACTTACAGTACAATGAAGAGAATCACTTAGACAAAGATTTCAGCAAGCAACAGTCAGTGACAAGAGATATAACTGTACCAACCCAACAATTGTGATGAGTTTCCTAAATAATAGTTCCCTTATGTTGCATAAGTGTCTCAATCGTCAACTTATCGGTTTTCAAACCATTCATCACAAGAGTGATGATACACTACAACAGAAATCAAACCACAGCCACTCTGGTGTGAAATTCGTTTCCATTTGTGGCCAGGACCCATGCTAACCTCTCTAGGGTCTACACAAATATAACTAATCGGATGAGTTTTATTAGAATAAGTTGGCAGAATAGTTAACACAATGGCCTGTGAGTTTTAGGATTCACCTGCAGTGGGTTTGAGACCCGCCCGTTCTGTGTGTGTATATATATATTTTTTTTTTTTTTTTTTTTTTTTATCACACCGGCCGATTCCCACCAAGGCAGGGTGGCCCGAAAAAGAAAAACTTTCACCATCATTCACTCCATCACTGTCTTGCCAGAAGGGTGCTTTACACTACAGTTTTTAAACTGCAACATTAACACCCCTCCTTCAGAGTGCAGGCACTGTACTTCCCATCTCCAGGACTCAAGTCCGGCCTGCCGGTTTCCCTGAATCCCTTCATATAATGTTACTTTGCTCACACTCCAACAGCACGTCAAGTATTAAAAACCATTTGTCTCCATTCACTCCTATCAAACACGCTCACGCATGCCGCTGGAAGTCCAAGCCCCTCGCACACAAAACCTCCTTTACCCCCCCTCCAACCTTTCCTGGCCGACCCCTACCCCGCCTTCCTTCCACTACAACTGATACACTCTTGAAGTCATTCTGTTTCGCTCCATTCTCTCTACATGTCCGAACCACCTCAACAACCCTTCCTCAGCCCTCTGGACAACAGTTTTGGTAATCCCGCACCTCCTCCTAACTTCCAAACTACGAATTCTCTGCATTATATTCACACCACACATTGCCCTCAGACATGACATCTCCACTGCCTCCAGCCTTCTCCTCGCTGCAACATTCATCACCCATGCTTCACACCCATATAAGAGCGTTGGTAAAACTATACTCTCATACATTCCCCTCTTTGCCTCCAAGGACAAAGTTCTTTGTCTCCACAGACTCCTAAGTGCACCCTCACACTTTTCCCCTCATCAATTCTATGATTCACCTCATCTTTCATAGACCCATCCGCTGACACGTCCACTCCAAATATCTGAATACAGTTCACCTCCTCCACTCCTCTCCCTCCAATCTGATATTCAATCTTTCATCACCTAATCTTTTTGTTATCCTCATAACCTTACTCTTTCCTGTATTCACCTTTAATTTTCTTCTTTTGCACAACCCTACCAAATTCATCCACCAATCTCTGCAACTTCTCTTCAGAATCTCCCAAGAGCACAGTGTCATCAGCAAAGAGCAGCTGTGACAACTCCCACTTTGTGTGTGATTCTTTATCTTTTAACTCCACCACGCCTCTTGCCAAGACCTCGCATTTACTTCTCTTACAACCCCATCTATAAATATATTAAACAACCACGGTGACATCACACATCCTTGTCTAAGGCCTACTTTTACTGGGAAAAATTTTCCCTCTTTCCTACATACTCTAACTTGAGCCTCACTATCCTCGTAAAAACTCCTCACTGCTTTCAGTAACCTACCTCCTATACCATACACCTGCAACATCTGCCACATTGCCCCCCTATCCACCCTGTCATACGCCTTTTCCAAATCCATAAATGCCACAGAAATCTCTTTACCCTTATCTAAATACTGTTCACTTATATGTTTCACTGTAAACACCTGTCCACACACCCCCTACCTTTCCTAAAGCCTCCTTGTTCATCTGCTATCCTATCTCCGTCTTACTCTTAATTCTTTCAATTATAACTCTACCATGCACTTTACCAGGTATACTCAACAGACTTATCCCCCTATAATTTTTGCACTCTCTTTTATCCCCTTTGCCTTTATACAAAGGAACTATGCATGCTCTCTGCCAATCCCTAGGTACCTTACCCTCTTCCATACATTTATTAAATAATAGCACCAACCACTCCAAAACTATATCCCCACCTGCTTTTAACATTTCTAACTTTATCCCATCAATCCCGGCTGCCTTACCCCCTTTCATTTTACCTACTGCCTCACGAACTTCCCCCACACTCACAACTGGCTCTTCCTCACTCCTACAAGATGAAATTCCTCCTTGCCCTATACACGAAATCACAGCTTCCCTATCTTCATCAACATTTAACAATTCCTAAAAATATTCCCTCCATCTTCCCAATCCTCTAACTCTCCATTTAATAACTCTCCTCTCTTATTTTTAACTGACAAATCCATTTGTTCTCTAGGCTTCCTTAACTTGTTAATCTCACTCCAAAACTTTTTCTTATTTTCAACAAAATTTGTTGATAACATCTCACCCACTCTCTCATTTGCTCTCTTTATTTACATTGCTTCACCACTTCACCACTGTATATAACAATAAACCACGAAACTGCGACAGGCCAGGATTCGACCCCACGACACATTGTCCCGCCTCAAGAAGCCAATGAGGAGGGACAGTGTGTCTTGGGGTCGAATCCTGGCCCGTCGCAGTTTGGTAAATGATTCAAAACCACTTGTTTCGTGGCATCATTGTTATATAGACTGCTTGTAGAGGCGGGATACAGCTTATTTTTTTGAAAAAAAAAATTACATGTTAAAGCATAAACAATTTCCGTTATTAAGACATCGGGAGTCTTCCACCAGGACAGTGTGTTGCAAGGAACGTGCGTACGTAACAGTTCTCAAGCTGTGTTGCAAGGGTTGTGTGTATGTTTCAATTCTCTAGATGTGTTGTGTACATCACAGTTCCGTAACCTTTACTGTCACCTGAACTCCCGTCTTGTAAACAAACACTGAGCAGGAAGACTGAAGAAACTTCGGTGGCTGAAGAAAGAAAGAGAGAAGCTTAAGGAGTAAGGAAGAGGGTGGATGGAGAAGCGAAGGGAGAGAAGTGAGGAAGGAGGACGGAGGGTCAACAGCAGAGAAGAGAGAAGGGAGGCTGGAAGAGAGAAACCTGAGGAAGGAAGGATCCTGGATAAGGGACGGTGGCTTGAGGCACGAGGAAGAAGACAAAAATGATGAAGGAGGAAGACTGAAGGAGGGAGGACGGAGAGAGGATGGAGGAAAGAGTTAATAGCCTCAGTTAACAAAGTTCTCTGCCTAAGTTGGCCACAAGTTTAGGTGATAAGTAACACTAAGGAGCTTACGGGACACAAGTTGCTCCACCAGCACGTGTCACCAAAGTCGTAAACCACCCTGAAAAATATGACAAGAAGCAAATTGCTAAGTTGATGAGGTGGCAGCTCGGGTGCAGGAGAGATAGAGTGTTGGGGTAGAGATGGAAGGCGTAGGTGAGGGAACGTGGACGCTAAGGTGAAGGGAAGGGTTGTGGATGGGGAAGGTGAGGTATATGTGAATATGAGGGGAGTAAAAGGAGGAGGTAGGGTGCAGATGGGGGAGGTGGTGGGGCGAGGGAGTATAAAGGGATGTGAGGTGTTGGTGATAGGATGATGGAGACGGTAGGCGTTTGTGAGGGAGATTCTTATTATAGTCACCAAGTGCGCTTAATTCCTATGGACCACTAAACGCCACTCAACAGAAAAAATAAGTCTACTCCATGGAGATTTTTCCAGTTGACCAAACTCTGTGGTGGTCGATGACACAATCTGACCACCAGGCCAACCTAGGTGGAATGTTGATGAGGAACAGGTAGAATGTTTGTGAGGGAGAGAGGGGAATGCTTGTGGGAGAGAGATGTGGAGTGTTTGTGAGGGAGAGGCGCAGTGTTTGTTAGAGAGACTTTGGGGTTGTAAAGTTCGTTTAGTTTTAATTACCTCACACGTTAAGGAGAGGACAGAGAGAGCAGGGACAACTTACCACGTTGAACCTCTCCTTCCTACTCGACTTGTCCCAGTATTCTTAAAGACTATATTATATTGAACCAGGTAGGCTGACTAGATTTTCTTAGCACGCAAAAAAAACAACATATTTTTCTTGGGAGGTACTTTCTTAGATCCACTTTTGAAGAAAGTTCTCCTGGCTAACATTAACACCTTCTCAACAATATTCTTCGGAATAACTCAATTTTGTAACTACGTTGCATATCTTTCCAGTTTCATCATAGACGGAGGAAGAAGAAATAATTAAGTCTCTCAACCTTGATAAAAAATTAGCTTTGGTTAGGTAAGATTTGTCAGGAAACAGAACAAGCGTTTTCTGACGCGAGTCTTTGTCACATGACCCGCTGCTCGAGCTATTGGTTATCTAACGGAGGCCTTCCGCTGGCTTACCTGCTAACACCCTTCTAAAATTAAAATTTTTAAAGATAGGATATTGATAGAAATCGCTCAACCCTATAGCCTTAATAGAAGGCATTCTGTTCCATAGCCTTGGCAGAAGGCATTCAGTCCCATAGCCTTGATAGAAGGTATTCTGTCTCATAGCCTTGATAGAAGGCATCCAGTCCCATAGCCTTGACAGAAGGCTGATGGACTAAATATCTTCAAAGCTGAGAGACCGATTACTTTTTTTCCAGTGTCCCTGGTTGTCCACACGTGTTCATAAATAATGACTCCCAAGTGTTGAACATGAGTCTAAGTCGTCAGTGATGGGAGGGAAGCACACAGTTGTTACTTGCATTCCATATTTTTAGGAGATATGCAATCATCCTCAGTCATCTGATATCACTTAGTGGTAACTGTGATATTTGTTATACTGGTAATCACAGTGATCAATGCGATTACCTCTCCTTTTCTGTTCCAAGTTCTGTCTTCCCATTATGTCCTCGAATTAGTGTTGATCAAACCTTTGGGGAGCGATATGTCTAATGCTTCGTCTCGTCGGTATTATATACCATACGTTTATAATATACCAGTGACAGTTGAGATACCAGGGGTGCCTAGAGATACCTAGTGATACGAAATTAAAACTAGTGATACCTAGTGATAATTAGTGATATATAGTGTGACACAAGGTTGTTTAGCGGTATTGAGCTCAATGTCGTTACCTGTGTCACCCACCGTGCAGGTGTGAGTTTTACCGGGCACGTGTGGCTCTTATCGTGCACAAGGCTCAACGTGCAGGTGTGGCACTCACCGTGCACCTGGAGATTGATGATAGCAGACAGGCCAGCACCCACACCGTTCGTGGCTTCACAAAGATAACTGCCTTCCACCTCCTCCGTCGCTGCCCCCACCAGGAGTGTGCCATTGTTCCAAGTGCGACTGATGGGCACGCCCATACCCACGCCCATACCCACGCTCAAGCCAACGTCCACGTTGTTGTACACACCCTTGTCAGAACCTGAAAAACATGGGATTTTTGAAAACTAAAATTTAGAGTACTGTGGCAGGAATATTTCACACTACTTAAGCTGAAACACAATTTCATGGGTGGAATACTAAAGAAATATTATGTATTTTAGTCTCCGCGTGATCCTTATCCAATAATCTCAGCCTTCTGTACCTCAGCACTTGCATGAGGTAAAGCGGGTGTACACTTTAGCCCTTAGGAGGCAGAGTACCTGCAGTTAAACCTTCCCAAGAACTCCAGGAGCTGAGCATCAATATCTTGAATAGGCCCAAGAGTTGTAGCTCAACCCTCTCATAAAGTTTAACACCTGTAGCTTAACATCCTCAAGAGCCCAAGAGTATAAGATCAAGACTTTTAAGAGGACCAGCAGCTGCAGTAATCCAAACCTTCCACTAAGTAACAAAAATCAGCGTTGGAGGTTTTGAAGCCAGTCAGTAGAGGCATTGTAAGGTTATTGTATGGAATTCAATATCACAAAACATTCAATAAAGTTGGGAAAATATCACTTGTGCAACCAAAGACAAGGCGAAAATTTCCTTGAAGTACGACACACACAAACACACTCGTTACGTCACACAAACAACATAGGCGATGTTACGGTCCGAGTTGTGCCATTAACTAATTACACCAGATAGTTAATGATCCAAGTGAGGGTTATTTGTGTATTATTCCAGTGTCTTTAGTTTGATCTTTACATTCAATGAATAGACAGATAACCAGCACAGAGAAGAAGCTTTTGATGACGTTCCGGTCTGACTTGGACCATTTAAAAGGCACACTAACACAGGAAAGTGCAGGAGCCAGTATGTATAGGAGAGGGAGACAGGGATGGAAGAAGAAAGAAGGAAGTGGAGAAGTAGTGGCAGAGGTAATGCTGGTAGTGGAAGTAGTAATAGTAGTAGTAGTAGTATCGGTAGTAGTAGGAGGAGGCGAAGTGGCAAATAGAAAGGGAAGTGAAGCGAGGCAATAGTAGTAGTAGTAGTAGTAGTAGTAGTAGTAGTAGTAGTAGTAGTAGTAGTAGTAGAAGCAGCAGCAGCAGCAGCAGCAACAGTAGCACTACCAGTAGTAGTAATAGTAGCAGTAGTAGTAATGTAGTAGTAGTAGTAGTGACAGAAGTAGAATAAGTCAAATGACAAGAAAAACGTGAGTGCCATGACCCACAAGGGTGGAACTGTAAACACAGGCGGCAGAAAACTGGAGGACTGAATCTAGCTAAGCAGAAGAAATTAAAACAAAGAAAAAATAGAAAATTAGAAGCGGTAGGGAGAGGAGGAGTCAAAAGATCTGGTCAAGACAAGAGTGTTCTGACGCTTGGAGCATCTGACAATGTAACCAAAAATGAAGGCATCTACAGAAACAAAACCAGGACTAAGATTTATATTAGGAATATCTGAAGCCGATCTAACAAGATATTGCCAATACATCGTGAAAAAAAATCCCTTACAACTTTTATTGTGAAACTGATGAAGTGTTACCAACACACTTCAGCAACAAACTAAATTTTTTTCTTCGTCAGTTACATTAGAGCTGAAAACCTGAAGTGAATCAGAAGAAACATTCTTACGTTATCACATGTAAACTTCTGCCCTATTTGATGTATAGAATTGGCTAAATTGGTACCAGACCGTCTCCCTTTGCAATATACAACAACACGAAGTTTAAAGCAGATCAGAAGAGACGTTCTCTTGGTATCAAACAGAAAGCTGCGCCTTGTGAGCCACAAAGTAATCCACAGCCCAAAATTAAGTAACAGGTTTTAGCAAAGTACATTAAAAGGGGATTAAATGTGACGCTTTTAAAGCTATATGAGCATCGCGTGCCGTGGAGACTAGCTTTCAAGGATTTTTTTTTTTTTAACAAGTCGGCCGTCTCCCACCGAGGCAGGGTGACCCAAGAAAGAAAATCCCCAAAAAGAAAATACTTTCATCATCATTCAACACTTTCACCACACTCACACATAATCACTATTTTTGCAGAGGTGCTCAGAACACAACAGTTTAGAAGTATATACGTATAAAGATACACAACATATCCCTCCAAACTGCTAATATCCCAAACCCCTCCTTTAAAGTGCAGGCATTGTACTTCCCATTTCCAGGACTCAAGTCCGGCTATATAAAAATAGCCGGTTTCCCTGAATCCCTTCACTAAATATTACCCTGCTCACACTCCAACAAATCGTCAGGTCCCAAATACCATTCGTCTCCATTCACTCCTATTGAACACGCTCATGCACGCCTGCTGGAAGTCCAAGCCCCTCGCCCACAAAACCTTCCTTACCCCTTCCTTCCAACCTTTTCGAGGACGACCCCTACCTTGCCTTCCTTCTCTTACAGATTTAAATGCTCTCCATGTCATTCTACTTTGATCAATTCTCTCTAATTGACCAAACCACCTCAACAACCCCTCTTCAGCCCTCTAATACTTTTATTAACTCCACATCTCCTAATTTCCACACTCCGAATTTTCTGCATAATATTTACACCACACATTGCCCTTAGGACATCTCCACTGTCTCCAACCGCCTCATCGCTGCTGCATTCACAACCCAAGCTTCACACCCATATAAGAGTGTTGGTACTACTATACTTTCATACATTCCCTTCTTTGCCTCCACAGATAACGTTTTTTGACTCCACATATGCCTCAACGCACCACTCACCTTTTTTTCCCTCATCAATTCTATGATTAACCTCAACCTTCATAAATCCATCCGCCGACACGTCAACTCCCAAGTATCTGAAAACATTCACTTCTTCCATACTCCTCCTCCCCAAACTGATATCCAGTTTTTCTTTATCTAAACCATTTGATACCCTCATCACCTTACTCTTTTCTATGTTCACTTTCAACTTTCTACCTTTACACACACTCCCAAACTCATCCACTAACCTTTGCAATTTTTCTTAGAATCTCCCATAAGCACAGTATCATCAGCAAAAAGTAACTGTCAATTCCCATTTTGTATTTGATTCCCCATAATTTAATCCAACCCCTCTCCCGAACACCCTAGCATTTGGAAATATAAACACATATGCAGTATAATGTGATCCTTTATTGACTACGTTTCGCCCACACAGTGGGCTTTTTCAAGTCACAAACAGAACTACCTGGGGTGGAAGGAACGCGAGTATTTATAGTCAGGTTCAGAATGCTGAGGTCAGGTGGAGAATGCTGCATCTGATGATGTACCGAGTGGGGTTATAAGTCTAAAATCTTGGGTAGCTTTGGAAAGGAGATTGGATAAGTTGGTGAGCAGACCTTCTACAGTGTTCTTATGTGGGATAGCGATGAAGAAGTTTCTTGGCAAGTGTTCAGCTATTTTTATAGAAGCCACTATTCTGGTTGAAGTTGTCGGATATAGAAATAAGTGATGATTCCAGGATTCTTCGGTATTGAGTGTTGTCTTCTGTGGCGATAAGTCTTGATTTTTCTGTAGTTTATCAAGTGGTTGTGTGAATTACGGTGTTGTACGCAGGCATTCCTTGTGTCGTCAGACCTGCTTGCGTATTGGTGTTCTGAAATACGTGTTTGGAGGTCCCTTGATGTTTCGCCCACGTATAACTTGTTCCCAGTCATTACAAGGGATTATGTATACCCCTGCAGAGGTGGAAGCTTGTCCTGTCTATCACTGGTAATGTCCTTGATGGTCGTGGTTGTGGAGGTAGATACTTGAAATGAGGTATTGGAAAAGATGTTGGAAACGTGTTTGGCAATGGAGTTGGTGGGGAGGACTATGTATCTCTTCTCGGCAGTGTCTTCTCTGGGGTGTGTTGAAGATGTTTAATGCCCGTCGTCTGCAGTCTCTGATGAAGTGACGAGGATAGTGGAGTTTAGAAAATACTTGTTCAATCATCGTGCATTCTTCTTCAAGAAACTCATTGCTGCAGATTCTGAGTGCACGCAGGAAGAAGCCTATAATTACACCACGTTTGGTTTTGGTGTCGTGGTGAGAGTAAAAGTGGAAAAGATCGTTTTGGTTGGTGGGTTTTCGATAGACTTTAAAACGATGTTCGTGGTCAGCTTTGCAAAGCAGAACATCAAGGAAAGGAAGAGTGTTGTCGACTTCTTCTCAAGTGTGAACTGTCAACCACAGAAACTGAAGCCCTCAGCTTAGGCCTCAAATTCGCAACAGGAATTACGAAACCAAAACAAGACCTCAATTTCATCGCCAAAAACTACAGACACAATGACTCCGACTTCCAAAAAGGCTATCTTCAAGGCATCATCTCAGCAGCCATCTCAACACGCAGCTCCCCAGTCATACCTCGACGTTACATCAATGCACTCAAAGGTTTAGCAGAAGACACGACCATCAGGGTCACCACCGCTGACAAAGGAGGTGGTGTTGTTATCATGAACACTGACGATTACAGGAACAAAATGCTCACTCTACTTAATGACCCAGATACCTACAAACCTCTCACAACTAACCAAGGGGAAACAACCTTACTAAAACTTTTCTTCAAAGGACTCGCCGCATTCTGAGGGGCTCAGAACAAGGGAAGAAACTTCTGCACACCATACCCAGCAACCCCAGACCTGCCAGGATGTACGGCCTGCCAAAAACTCACAAGCCAGGTATCCCACTGAGGCCCATATCCTCGGGAATAGGCAGTGCTCCCCACCAGCTCTCAGGAATTCTCGCAAAACACCTCTCTAAACTCTTGGGCACTATCAGTCCAGCACATCTCAAACACTCGGGTGATCTTCTCAATCGCATTCGCAACATCAACATCAGGAACAAGAAACTTTCCCCAGCCTTGACGTGACTTCCCTATTCACCAAAGTACCTACTACACAAGCCATCGATCTCTTGCGCAGGAAAATTGACGATTCACTTGATCTTCCCATTCCAGCCAGCGATTTCATCGACCTTGTTGAACTATGTGTTGGCTTTGGCTTTACGTGTTTCTCTTTCGAAAATCACCTCTTTCAGCAGACTTTTGGACTACCCATGGGTTCGCCTCTCAGTGCGGTCCTGGCGAACCTATACATGGAACATCTAGAAGCCGAACGTTTCTCCACCATTATTCCTTCGTCTGTCACCTGGCTCCGTTATGTTGACGACATTCTCCTCATAACTCCTAAACGCTTCAATGTTAAAGCTCTCCAAGACAAGCTCAACCAGGTCGAGCCTTCAATCCAGTTCAAACTTGAAGAAGAAGTCGACAACACTCTTCCTTTCCTTGATGTTCTGCTTTGCAAAGCTGACCACGAACTTCGTTTTAAAGTCTATCGAAAACCCACCAACCAAAACGATCTTCTCCACTTTTACTCACACCACGACACCAAAACCAAAACGTGGTGTAATTATAGGCTTCTTCCTGCGTGCACTCAGAATCTGCAGCAATGAGTTTCTTGAAGAAGAATTGCACGATGATTGAACAAGTATTTTCTAAACTCCACTATCCTCGTCACTTCATCAGAGACTGCAGACGACGGGGATTAAACATCTTCAACAACACCCAGAGAAAACACTGCCGGGAAAAAGATACATAGTCCTCCCCACCAACTCCATTGCCAAACACGTTTCCAACATCTTTTCCAATACCTCATTTCAAGTATCTACCTCCACAACCACGACCATCAAGGACATTACCAGTGATAGACAGGACAAGCTTCCACCCCCTGCAGGGTATACATAATCCCTTGTAATGACTGCAACAAGTTATACGTGGGCGAAACATCAAGGGACCTCCAAACACGTATTTCAGAACACCAATACGCAAGCAGGTCTGACGACACAAGGAATGCCTGCGTACAACACCGTAATTCACACAACCACTTGATAAACTACAGAAACTCAAGACTTATCGCCACAGAAGACAACACTCAATCCGAAGAATCCTGGAATCATCACTTATTTCTATATCCGACAACTTCAACCAGAATAGTGGCTTCTATAACATAGCTGAATCACTTGCCAAGAAACTTCTTCATCGCTATCCCACATAAGAACACTGTAGAAGGTCTGCTCACAAACTTATCCAATCTCCTTTCCAAGCTACCCAAGATTTTAGACTCTATAACCCCACTCGGTATATCATCAGATGCAGCATTCTCCACCTGACCTCAGCATTCTGAACCTGACTATAAATACTCGCGTTCCTTCCACCCCAGGTAGTTCTGTTTGTGACTTGAAAAATCCCACTGTGTGGGCGAAACGTAGTCAATAAAGGATCACATTATACTGCATATGTGTTTATATTTCCATTGTGTCGGTATTTTATACCATTTATTTCCACCCTAGCATTTACTTCTTTTACAACCCCATCTATAAATATATTAAACAACCATGGTGACATTACACATCCCTGTCTAAGACCTACTTTTACCGGGAAGTAGTCTCCCTCTCTTCTACACACCCTAATCTGAGCCTCACTATCCTCATAAAAACTCTTTACAGCATTTAGTAACTTACCACCTATTCCATATACTTGCAACATCTGCCACATTGCTCCCCTATCCACTCTATCATATGCCTTTTCTAAATCCATAAATGCAATAAAAACTTCCCTACCTTTATCTAAATACTGTTCACATGTATGCTTCAATGTAAACACTTGATCTACACATCCCCTACCCACTCTGAAACCTCCTTGCTCATCCGCAATCCTACATTCTGTCTTACCTCTAATTCTTTCAATTATGACCCTACCGTACACTTTCCTGGTATACTCAGTAAACTTATTCCTCTATAATTTTTGCAATCTCTTTTATCCCCCTTCCCTTTATATAAAGGGACTATACGTGCTCTCCTCTAATCCCTAAGTACCTTCCCCTCTTTCATACATTTATTAAACAAAAGTACCAACCACTCCAGCACTATATCCCCCCCTGCTTTTAACATTTCTGTCATGATCCCATCAGTTCCAGCTGCTTTACCCCCTTTCATTCTACGTAATGCCTCACGTACCTCCACCACACTTACATTCTGCTCTTCTTCACTCCTAAAAGATGCTATACCTCCCTGGCCAGTGCGTGAAATTATAGCCTCTCTTTCTTCCTCAGCATTTAAAATTTCCTCAAAATATTCTCGCCATCTACCTAATACCTCCCTATCCCCATCTACTAACTCCCCTACTCTGTTTTTAACAGACAAATCCATTCGTTCCCTAGGCTTTCTTAACTTGTTTAACTCACTCCAAAAATTTTTCTTATTTTCATTAAAATTTCTTGACAGCGCCTCTCCCACTATCATCTGCTCTCCTTTTGCACTCTCTCACCGCTCTTTTCACCTTTCTTTTACTCTCCATATACTCTGCTCTTCTTATAACACTTTTGCTTTGTAAAAATCTCTCGTAAGCTACCTTTTTCTCTTTTATCACACCCTTTACTTCATCATTCCACCAATCACTCCTCTTTCCTCCTGCACCCACCCCATTATAACCACAAACTTCTGTCCCACATTCTAATACTGCATTTTTAAAGCTCATCTAACCCTCTTCAACTCCCCCCACTACTCATCTTTGCACTAGCATGTATATATTTTTGTAACCACGAACGAGTGGTATCGAATCAATAACAACACTGCTACTAGCCGAGGAATCGAACCCATATCGTTTTGTCCCGCCTCATAGTGAGCGAAAATCACATATGACGCTCTAACTCACAGGACCATGCACTCCTACAAGAATCACGCACCCAGCAGAGCTATAATATATATATCTGAGTGTGAAGCATGGGTGATGAATGTTGCAACAAGGAGAAGGCTGGAGGCAGTGGAGATATCATGTCTGAGGGCAATGTGTGGTGTGAATATAATGCAGAGAATTCGTAGTTTGGAAGTTAAGAGGAGGTGTGGGATTGCCAAAACTGTTGTCCAGAGGGCTTAGGAAGGGTTATTAAGGTGGTTCGGACATGTAGAGAGAATGGAGCGAAACAGAATGACTTCGAGAGTGTATAAATCTGTAGTGGAGGGAAGGCGGGGTAGGGGTCAACCTTGGAATGGTTGGAGGGAGGGGGTACATCAACTGGGACAGTGGGTATGTCAACTGGGACAGTGGGTACATCAATCACCACGGAAGGACAATGCGTCTCATACGCGGACACTCAGTGATACGACACGGAGGTTCGATAAGGAAGTAAACCTCATGAGCAAAGACGGTGAAGAAGATTGAAGATTAGTTGAAGGAAAAGAAAATGAGGTGAGGATATAGGTAGGAAATGGGGTCGAGGTCGTGGTGGTAGCGACGAACTGGCGGCTGACAGAGTCCAGACGGACTCTCTCAAACCTGGCAGCTGCCAGAGTCCAGACGAGCTCTCTCAAACCTGGTAGCTGCCAGAGTCCAGACGGCTTCTCTCAAACCTGGCAGCTGCCAGAGTCCAGACGAACTCTCTCAAACCTGGTAGCTGCCAGAGTCCAGACGGCTTCTCTCAAACCTGGCAGCTGCCAGAGTCCAGACGAACTCTCTCAAAACCTGTGCTGCCAGAGTCCAGACGGACTCTCTCAAAACCTGGTAGCTGCCAGAGTCCAGACGGCTTCTCTCAAACCTGGGAGCTGCCAAGTCCAACCGAACTCTCTCAAACCTGGCACTGCCAGAGTCCAGACGGACTCTCTCAAACCTGGCAGCTGCCAAGTCCAGACGAGCTCTCTCAAACCTGGTAGCTGCCAGAGTCCAGACGGCTTCTCTCAAACCTGGCAGCCAAGTCCAGACGAACTCTCTCAAACCTGGTAGCTGCCAGAGTCCAGACGACTCCCCTCAAACCTGGTAGCTGCCAAGTCCCCGACGGCTTTTTCCAAACCTGGCAGCTGCCAGAGTCCAGACGAACTCTCTCAAACCTGGTAGCTGCCAGAGTCCAGACGGCTCTCTCAAACCTGGTAGCTGCCAGAGTCCAGACGGACTCTCTCAAACCTGGCAGCTGCCAGAGTCCAGACGGACTCTCTCAAACCTGGTAGCTGCCAGAGTCCAGACGGATCTCTCAAACCTGGTAGCTGCCAGAGTCCAGACGGACTCTCTCAAAACTGGGAAAACGACACCTGATATTTTTCTAAGGAGATTTGAAATTACAGTAACTGAAAGTAATTATTAATGCTATAATTAAAAAAAATATAACAATTCTGTAGCAGAAACGACATTATTACTCAACATTCCCAAGATTTCAATGCTTTTAAATTAACTATTAACGTGAATGAAAATTTAATTTTAACGTTAGAATAATGGGAACTAGATTTCATAATGAATAAATATTACAAGAGTACAAAGAAAGATATTTTCCAATTTTTATCTTAATTAGTTTCAAATTTAATATCATGAATATAATATTTCGTTGATTAAAAGTTGTTCTTACCGAATCTCTTAAAGAATAATATTAATATAAATCGAACCCTCTACAGGAAGACTGGCAAAGTTCCTAAGTGCCAGTCTTCTCCACTCAGCCACAAATACTTCATAAGCTGGGCAGCCTGGTTCACAAGCCCAGAGTCCGGCCACTGTGAGTGGTGCACTGATATAAAAAAAATTGCTTGTGAAGTCAGAACTTGCAGGAGAATGTAATGCTTGATGTCATGCTGGAGGCCCATTGGTGTGCCCGTTACTTGTCTTCCTGTAGTGGGTTCGAATCCTGCTGACTGCGATCTTGGTAAATTAGTAAGAACTCATTTAAAATTAAGCCTTTTCTAAAATTTCTCTTATACGTTTAAAATATTTTATTCAATTATCTTAATGTAAAAATTAATAATTTTGTACCAAAAGAACCTTAGAAAACTTATATAACATTATTATTACAAGCACAATTTAATTTAGCCTAATCCAACTAAAAATATTTTAGATAAGTTTACAATAATTTAATAATAAACAACAAATGAAATATTTTTTTTTCGTTAGGTTCAGAATGATTTTTGCGAAATTATTGCATACACAGCGTTGCTTTTTAAGCCAAAATCATAAGTTTTACCTATTCGCCTCGACATATATATATATATATATTATATATATATATATATATATATATATATATATATATATTTTATATATATATATATATATATAAAATAATATATATATGTGCATGCAATAAGATCAGAGTAAAACAGGTGATTTCAAAATATGCAAAACAACCACTGTGAAAGAATAGAGAAATTCCAAGTGCTTTCGTGACTACTCACATTTTTATCAAGGAACAAAGATAATGTGAGTAGTTACGAAAGCGCTTGGAATTTCTCTATTCTTTCACAGTGGTTGTTTTGCATATAAATATATATATATATATATATATATATATATTATATATATATATATATTATAATATATATATATATATATATAATATTATTGTAACCACGAGCGAGTGGTATTTAATAAATAACAACACTGCGACTAGCCGAGGGCTCGAACTCATGTTGTTTTAGCCCACATTTTGGTGAGTGAAAATCAAATGACGCTCTAACCCACAGGACCACCCAATCCTACAAAGTTCACGCATCCAACAGGGCTAGGTGTTTCACCGTGATCCGAGGACATACGATGGTGTGGATGCCTCAGAGCTAATTTCATTCTGCGCCCCACACCAGCACCATCGTATGTCCTCGGATCAACGCTAATATTCATCTGCATTATCAACTTATGTTGCACTCTTTGTTATTCCAATCACGTGCATTGACCGTACAGGGGACCGGGGTTTTGGAATATACTAGGATATCTTTCTCGGCTCACACAGCGTCCGAACTACATTTAGTTAACGTACATTTTGGGTCAATAGGAGGTTGTGTGGCACATGTAAGGGTACGACTAATTTTTAATTTGGTTAATTTACATATTTGCAACTCCCATTTATCTTTTTATAGTTTATTCTTTGTGTTTTGAAGTAAATAACATAGTTTCTCAGTGATATTATAGAAACTGATAGAACTTACCACTACGTTTTTGTTCAGATATTTTGGGTGTAAACAGATCGTGATCTTGCCTGACGTCTTAGCTTACTGGCGCCAGAGAAGCTAACTTCTCGTAGCAACAGAGTTGAGTTAGTGGGATTTAAGAAGCTAACTTCTCGTAGCAACAGAAAAGGGAATGGTTTAACCGATGTTTACTGAGGGGAATCTTGATTTAAAGGGCATTGAACTTTACAGGGGTTTCGAATAGCTGAACCTTCACAATCCCCCCCCCAGGTGCTGTAAATCTCAGGATTTAGCGTTCCCTTGTTAAAAATTAATTAATCGTTAGAAGAGTGAGCAGTGGATTTGAAAGCGAAAAATACTGAGACTGTAATTATTTTGTTTAAGGGAGTCATTATCTCTTGTCAAGTATTTGAACACCTTCAACACTCGTAAAACTTCCCACTTACTTTAACCTCGATTAAACTAGTTGAATTAATTTACCTTGAGAATACCTTTAAACTTCAACACTGTAAAATTCCTCATTACCTGTTAACTTTCATAATGTTTAACACTGGCCTATCATACCTTTTCAACATGCTTATCAACACCTACAACACTATCCCTCAATTCCTTCAAACTTCACTCCACAACACTCCTGCGGTCCCCTCCAATACGGTTTAACACCTAGCTTCAAAGTGAACGCATCTTCCCTCAATACCTTACACCTCCCAACACCGTCGTACGTTTCCCAATGCCACGTTAGTCAATCAAGACTGCAACAGGTTCTCAATACTTTCACCCTTCTCACAAAATCACTGAGCCGGGTCCTTACAGGTAAAGCCAGGGAAAAAACTGAGAGCGGGAAGGAAAATGCATCTTCCTTCGGGTGACATGACATCGTGAGGCTCAAGACCAGAGGCGGAGTGAGAGAGAGAGGAGAGATCAGAGAGGACAGGAGTGAAAGAGTAGACATGCAGAGAGAAGGCCTTAGGAGGTTTAAAACCAGATGGAAAAAAGGAGAGAACAAAAGGAGAAATTGTGTATATATAGATGAAGGTTTCCCAGGTGGGTGTGTGTGTGTGAGAGAGAGAGAGAGAGAGAGAAGAGAGAGAGAGAGAGAGAGAGAGAGAGAAGAGAGAGAGAGAGAGAGAGAGAGAGAGAGCTGAGGTAGGAAATAGCTCTTAGCTTGTAAATAAAGGTAGGAACTTTTAACATTACCCTTGTGTGAGGAACTCTTGTGTCAATAGATAAATAGAATGAGAGTCTGTATGTGTGTGTGTGTGTGTGTGTGTGTGTGTGTGTGTGTGTGTGTGTGTGTGTGTGTGTGTGTGTGAGAGAGAGAGAGAGAGAGAGAGAGAGAGAGAGAGAGAGAGAGAGAGAGAGAGAGAGAGAGAGAGAGAGAGAGAGAGAGAGAGAGAGAGTTTCATTATATATGGATATGATATTGGTGTTACAAATCATCATATGTCATAATGTGACGAATCATTGTATGTGAGGATGAAATATGCGTCTCTGTGTATACACATTGAATTCATAACTGTCCATGAAGAGTATATCATTATGAGAATGAAATTGTGAATATACCATGTGAATATTTAGTTACGTATATACTGTAACCTTCCTGTCTTCCCCTTCTCCCTTTCCATTACTAGTAATCTTTCTCCTCCCTCTCTGTCTTTTCCGTAACATCCCTCCCTTTTCACCTTCCTCTCCTTCTCGTAAACACCCTCTCCCTTATCCTCCCTCCCTCCCACATTCCCTGGTAACACCCCTTCCTTCTCTCTCTCTTTCTTTCTCTCTCTGTTTTGTCGCAGATGTTAAATGAATTATCTTCAGAGTGATGACAAGTGGATGACAGCGTGTGATGAGATAGCAGGTGTTCTAACTGCGGCAGGATATAGTGAGGAAATCACCCAAAATGCGAGTAATCACTCTGCGAGTAATCACTCGTGAGTGTTAACAACTCAGTGATTGTCTCGTGAGTGACGATAATTCAGTGACTGCGTCCTGAGTGCCAATCACACTCTTCTTCCTCGGGTCACAGCGGATTACCTCCTATTTCTCAGGCATCTTGAACCTCGAGAAGAGGAATGCTAGTAAGTACGTTACCCACTCCTTCACAGTGCCGCGAGGAGAGTGACTCGAAGCGCTCTCTCGCACAGTAATGTGTACATTATTGAGCAGCTGAATCACCTGGTGTGTTCGTTCAGACAGAAAGCACGCTAATGACGACCGTTACGACACTGACGCTAGGACAGCGGTCTCTCGTTCGACACTGGCGCTAGGACAGCGATCTCTCGTTCGACACTGGCGCTAGGACAGCGATCTCTCGTTCGACACTGGCGCTAGGACAGCGGTCTCTCGTTCGACACTGACGCTAGGACAGCGGTCTCTCGTACGACACTGGCGCTAGGACAGCGATCTCTGGTACGACACTGACGCTAGGACAGCGGCCTCTGGTGCCAGCAATATAAACAACTCTTGATCAGTGTTGGTAGATGCGGGAAGTCATATTAATTAGCTAATTAAGATTTAGCATAACACTTAAGCATAAACCTAGTCTGTCAGTGGGTACACTGGCAATATATTATAATACTCAATTTTGTATTTCTCTTTTAAAAACTGGGACATAGTGAGTACCCGTTTAAGGGGCTACTACTGTCGACGGTAACACGCCCATGACACACGTACCCCATGACCACGTACCCCGTAGCAAGGTCCCATACTGTATATACTTACTGTGTACAAAAGGAATACCCATTTCGCGTGAATAGAAAAAATGCAGCTTCCCATAACTGTTCACGTAGAATTAAATAGACATTTATATGAGGGAACCCAGGTGGGCTACTATCAAAAGTGACTCTCACTAAACCAAAGCAATTAAGTGTACTGCAACAATTCATTATATTGTAACAATAAACGCACTGCAACAACTGAGTATAGTGCAACAAGTGAGTGTACTGCAACAATCATAGCGCCCTAACAAGAATACACAGCATAGGTAAGAAATCCTCTGTCATTTGGAAGTCGTGTGGAGGTGGTGTGGCCGGACCAGGTGTGGACAGTAACGTTAGTGCCAACACTAGTTTATATTAGTGTTTATGCGCAGTAATAACCTAGAAATCTCTGGACAAGATCTCTTCCAAATAGGCCTACCGAATTATTCGTATTGCTGGAACGATCATTCTTTTTACAACATTGTAAACATCATTCCCGAAATGATCATTCTAACATCTCATATACCCGATGTTATATTTGTTATATCTTATATACCTGTTATATCTGTTATAGAAGTTCATGGCTACGGATAACATCTTTCCCTCAAACATGGTCGTAGTCAAGGCCTCTTTGCTGATAGCTAGGTCAGGTAGGCTGTTTGTGCACGCGGCACGCAGTGTGATATAGACATCATAGCCTGGTTGATCCGGTACTGTTTGAAGGAGATTACGGAGTTTCAACCAACATCCCTAAATAGCATCACAACCCCTGAATAACATCACAACCCCTGAATAACATCACAACCCCTAAATAACATCACAACCCCTAAATAACATCACAACCCGTAAATAACATCACAACCCGTAAATAACATCACAACCCGTAAATAACATCACAACCCCTGAATAACATCACAACCCGTAAATAACATCACAACCCGTAAATAACATCACAACCCGTAAATAACATCACAACCCCTAAATAACATCACAACCCCTAAATAACATCACAACCCGTAAATAACATCACAACCCCTGAATAACATCACAACCCCTAAATAACATCACAACCCTAAATAACATCACAACCCCTGAATAACATCACAACCCGTAAATAACATCACAACCCGTAAATAACATCACAACCCCTGAATAACATCACAACCCGTAAATAACATCACAACCCGTAAATAACATCACAACCCGTAAATAACATCACAACCCCTAAATAACATCACAACCCCTAAATAACATCACAACCCGTAAATAACATCACAACCCCTAAATAACATTAACCCCTAAATAGCAACACAACCCCTAAATAACATCACAACCCCTAAATAACATCACAACCCCTAAATAACATCACAACCCCTAAATAACATCACAACCCCTAAATAACATCACAACCCCTAAATAACATCACAACCCCTAAATAACATCACAACCCCTAAATAACATCACAACCCCTAAATAACATCACAACCCCTAAATAGCAACACAACCCCTAAATAACATCACAACCCCTAAATAACATCACAACCCCTAAATAACATCACAACCCCTAAATAACATCACAACCCCTAAATAACATCACAACCCCTAAATAGCAACACAACCCCTAAATAACATCACAACCCCTAAATAACATCACAACCCCTAAATAACATCACAACCCCTGAATAACATTAACCCCTAAATAGCAACACAACCCCTAAATAACATCACAACCCCTAAATAACATCACAACCCCTAAATAACATCACAACCCTAAATAACATCACAACCCCTAAATAGCAACACAACCCTAAATAACATCACAACCCCTAAATAACATCACAACCCCTAAATAACATCACAACCCCTAAATAACATCACAACCCCTAAATAACATCACAACCCCTAAATAACATCACAACCCTAAATAACATCACAACCCGTAAATAACATCACAACCCCTGAATAACATCACAACCCCTAAATAACATCACAACCCTAAATAACATCACAACCCCTGAATAACATCACAACCCCTAAATAACATCACAACCCTAAATAACATCACAACCCCTAAATAACATCACAACTACTAAATAACATCACAGCCCCTAAATAGCATCATAACCCCTGAATATCACAACCCTTGAATAATATAACAATCCCTGAATAACATCACAACCCCTGAATAACATCACAATCCCTGAATATCACAACCCCTGAATGTCACAACCCCTGAATGTCACAACCCCTGAATATCACAACCCCTGAATATCACAACCCCTAAATAACATCACAACCCCTGAATAACATCACAACCCCTGAATAACATCACAACCCCTAAATAACATAACCCCTGAATAACATCACAACCCCTAAATAACATCACAACCCCTGAATAACATCACAACCCCTAAATAGCATAACCCCTGAATAACATCACAACCCCTAAATAACATCACAACCCCTGAATAACATCACAACCCCTAAATAACATCACAACCCCTGAATAACATCACAACCCCTAAATAACATCACAACCCCTGAATAACATCACAACCCCTAAATAACATCACAACCCCTGAATAAACATCACAACCCCTAAATAACATCACAACCCCTAAATAACATCACAACCCTGAATAACATCATCCCTAAATAAAATCACAACCCCTGAATAACATCACAACCCCTAAATAACATCACAACCCATAAATAACATCACAACCCCTGAATAACATCACAACCCCTAAATAACGTCACAACCCCTAACATCACAACCCCTGAATAACATCATCCCTAAATAACATCACAACCCCTGAATAACATCACAACCCCTAAATAACATCACAACCCCTGAATAACATCCCTAAATAACATCACAACCCCTAAATAACATAACCCCTGAAAAACATCACAACTCCTGAATAACATCAACAACCCCTGAATAACATCACAACCCCTAAATAACATCACAACCCTTGAATAACATCACAACCCCTAAATAACATAACCCCTGAAAAACATCACAACCCCTGAATAACATCAACAACCCCTGGATAACATCAGGAACACAAACGAGTTGTGTTCCTGGTGTCTGAACTTACAAACGAGTTGTGTTTCTGGTGTCTGAACTTACAAACGAGTTGTGTTTCTGGTGTTTGAACTTACAAACGAGTTGTGTTCCTGGTGTCTGAACTTACAAATGAGTTGTGTTCCTGGTGTCTGAACTTACAAACGAGTTGTGTTCCTGGTGTCTGAACTTACAAACGAGTTGTGTTCCTGGTGTCTGAACTTACAAACGAGTTGTGTTCCTGGTGTCTGAACTTACAAACGAGTTGTGTTCCTGGTGTCTGAACTTACAAACGAGTTGTGTTCCTGGTGTCTGAACTTACAAACGAGTTGTGTTCCTGGTGTCTGAACTTACAAACGAGTTGTGTTCCTGGTGTCTGAACTTACAAACGAGTTGTGTTCCAGGTGTCTGAACTTACAAACGAGTTGTGTTCCTGGTGTCTGAACTTACAAACGAGTTGTGTTCCTGGTGTCTGAACTTACAAACGAGTTGTGTTCCTGGTGTCTGAAATTGCAAACGAGTTGTGTTCCTAGTGTCTGAACTTGCAAACGAGTTGTGTTCCAGGTGTCTGAACTTACAAACGAGTTGTGTTCCTGGTGTCTGAACTTACAAACGAGTTGTGTTCCTGGTGTCTGAACTTACAAACGAGTTGTGTTCCTGGTGTCTGAACTTACAAACGAGTTGTGTTCCAGGTGTCTGAACTTACAAACGAGTTGTGTTCCTGGTGTCTGAACTTACAAACGAGTTGTGTTCCTGGTGTCTGAACTTACAAACGAGTTGTGTTCCTGGTGTCTGAAATTGCAAACGAGTTGTGTTCCTAGTGTCTGAACTTGCAAACGAGTTGTGTTCCAGGTGTCTGAACTTACAAACGAGTTGTGTTCCTGGTGTCTGAACTTACAAACGAGTTGTATGAGTGCCCGTTTGTAAGTGAGCATTACGGAAGGCCTTTCGTAAGCTGAAGGTCTTTTGTAAAGTGCAGCTGAAATGAATGATACAGTGTTAGGTTATTGCCCGCAGGACATCCTGTAATGTGCAGCTGAAATAGATTATAGAATGCAAGGTTATCATAGCGTGCAGGACGTCCTGTGCTGCTGGGATAGATAGCACAGTTCAAGGTTATCACAGCGTGCAGAGGCCTCCTGTGCTGCTGGAAAAGATAAAACAGTGCAAGGTTATGATAGCGTGCAGAGACCTCTTGTATTGCTGGAATAGATAGCACAGTGCAAGGTTATCATAGCGAGCAGAGACCTCCTGTGCTGGTGGAACAGATAGCACAGTGCAAGGTTATCATAGCGAGCAGAGACCTCCTGTGCTGGTGGAACAGATAGCACAGTGCAAGGTTATCATAGCATGCAGAAGAGAGGAGGTTAAGAGGTTGATATCAGCCCTGGACGAACTCTTGGTCAGCGCCTGGGTTAATACTCTAGGTATCAGCTAGTGTCTTCGAGATAAATTTTTTGAGTTATCTTTCAAGTGTCAACTTTTGTACCAGTAATCTAGGACTATATTAGTTACTGCTAGAGACAGAGGTGGACAACTTGGCGTTCAGGACACGCCTGTATCTGACAGCTGTGGCATGAACAGGTAGCCCGGGGCTATAACTTGACTACTTCCATGTGTGTGAGAGTTTCGTAGGAACAAGGTGTCAGCGTGTGAGGGATAAGTGGGAGAATTTGAGGAGTTCTCGATGCTAAAGAGCCAGTATGCGTGGGACTTAAGAGTCAAGAGTGCCCGTGTAAGAGCTTCAAGATTGAAGTGTAATTGTGTGAGAGCTTCACGAAGAGCACAGCATACTGACCAGGCGCTGTTGGATGGGCTGGGGTGCTGGTGAGGGATGAGATGTCTATGAGAAATAAGAGGGGTCTATGAGAGGTTAGAGGGTCTATGAGAGGTGAGAGGGGTTCCTGTGAGGGGTGCCTGTGAGGGGTGAGTGCCAATACAGTGCTAACAACGGTGCCTCGTTAGAAAATAGTTGTGAGATCCTGGAATCAGAGAATAAAAATATTAGTGGATTGTGCTGGGAGTGCTCGTGCGGTGTGGTGCGGTGTGGTGCGGTGCGGTGCGTTAGTGCTTCGGTGCGTTATCAGACAACGTGTACATTACCGCGCACTAGAAGCTGAGCAGTGTAGCGCACTTCGCGCGCCTCGTTGCGTGCCACGCAGGTGTAGTTACCGGCGTGGTGAGGGCGCACGTGAGTCAGCACCAGGCTGGACGAGAAAGAGTCGTGCTGGCTTAGCTGGAGGTCAGCAGTGGGTGTCAGGACGTGGCCCTCATACAGCCATAAGAGTGTCATGGGTGGGTCGCCCATCTGTACATCGCACGTCACTGCTGTCCTCATCCCTGACACCAGTGAGCCGAAGTCAAATGGCTTGATGGAGGGCGGCACTGCAAAAGAAGGATGTATTAGCGTGTGGCACTGAAGGGGTAGTTACCATGAACACTCAGAGTGCCGGAGTGTGAAGCTGTGGCAGATGGAGTGCTAGCCTGGCAAGTGTAATTCCCAGAGTGTTGAGGTTGAAGTCTCTCGATGAAGAGTGCCAGGACGAACTGCCCCAGGGGCATGACGATGACCCCTGGGGTAGCAGTGGCGGGGTTGCCGTTGTGGAGCCAAGTGAGGGTCACAGGCGGGTCACCCTGCACCACCAGGCACTGTACTGCCACCCTTGACCCCGCCCACAGTGACTCCGGCATGGTGAAGGGTGCCAGGCGCGGCGGCTCTGAAACATAAAAGTCACTGTAACAGATGAATCACGAAGCACAAAGTGTTTACACTGCCGCTGGCGAGGGGTTCTTGATCCAAGAAAGTGTAACCACCTTCTCTTTCCTTGGATCAGACCCGATGATTTCCCAGTCCCCATGGCTCTGTATGGTCCTTGCACGTTTAGCGTTTTTTTCTAATTGACGATACTAATTATACAACCTAAATACGTAGAAGCCACCCCACCCATATACTTATGACTGTCTCAGCACCCATATACTTTTGACTGCCTCAGCACCCATATACTTTTGACTGCCTCAGCACCCATATACTTACACTACTTTAGCTCATACATACATACATATATTGGCTTCCTCAGCACATATACATACACTGCTTCAGTGCTACCTCAGTACCCCACACATACGAGCACCTCATCACCCCCATATATACACAGATCACCTCAGTTTCTGAGTATGTACAGAAGCACCTCAGCACCTACATACATAAACTGACGACCTCAGCAATAATACATACATTCACAGATTACCTAAGTATGTAAAAACAATGACTTCCTCAGCACTTACATACACTGACTACCCCAGCACAAACATACACTTACTACCTCAGCACGTACATACAGACACTGACTACCCCAGCACAAACATACAGTTACTACCTCAGCACGTACATACAGACACTGACTACCTCAACACTTTTATGCATACACCGATTACCTCAGCACCGACTACCACTGCACCCTCATACATACACTGACTAACTGAAGACGTACATACATACACACCCTGACTACCACAGCACCTTCGTACATACACTGACTACCTCAGCACATCATACATGCACTGATTACCTCAGCACATCATACATACACTAACTACCTCAGCACATCATACATACACTGACTACCTCAGCACATCATACATACACTGACTACCTGAGCACATACACTGGCTACCTCAGTACATCATACATACACTAATTACCTCAGTACATCATACATACACTAATTACCTCAGTACATCATATGCTGAATACCTCAGTACATCATACATACATTAGCTACCTCAGCACATCATACATACACTAACTACCTCAGCACATCATACATACACTGACTATCTCAGCACATCATACATACACTGACTACCTCAGCACATCATACAAACTGGCTACCTCAGTACATCATACATACACTAACTACCTCAGTACATCATACATTGAATACCTCAGTACATCATACATACACTACCTCAGTACATCATGCACTGAATACCTCAGCACCTCATACATACACTGAATACCTCAGCACATCATATATACACTGAATACCTCAGCACATCACACATACACTGAATACCTCAACACCCTCATGCCTACTAACCACCACTGCACCTACATACACTGCCTCAGCACCTTCATACATATATTGAATACATCATCCCCTACTTACATGACTACCTACAGTCTTAAATTCATAAACTATCTCAGCACTTTCATGCAAACACAGACAACCTCAGCACTTGCATTCATATACTAATTCATCACCTAATTACATAAACTATTTCCAGTACCAGCACACACACACACACACACACACACACACACACACACACACACACACACAACACACACACACAGACCACAGAACAGCAGGAGGCCAAGGCAAGAGTATGATGAGAGTAATAGAGCGATGGTTGACACACTGGTTGCAGTGGCCAGAAGAGCTCATGCATGCAGGGCAAAGCTCCTGATCATGGGTGACTTTAACCACAAGGAAATCGATTGGGAGAACTTGGAGCCACATGGGGGCCAAGATACATGGAGGGCTAAGATGATGGAGGTGGTACTGGAAAACTTCATGTACCAACACGTAAGGGACACTACGAGAGAGAGAGGAGAGGATGAACCAGCAAGACTGGACCTAGTATTCATCTTGAGTAGTGCAGATATTGAGGACATCACATATGAAAGACCCCTTGGGGCCAGCGATTATATGGTTTTAAGCTTCGAATACACAGTAGAGCTACAAGTGGAGGGGGAGGCAGGAAGGCCAGGGCGAATGAAGCCAAACTACAAGAAAGGGGACTACACGGGAATGAGGAACTTCCTGAATGGGGTTCAGTGGGACAGAGAACTGGCAGGGAAGCCAGTTAATGTGATGATGGAATATGTAGCAACAATGTGCAAGGAGGCGGAGGAGAGGTTTGTACCCAAGGGCAACAGGAATAATGAAAAAGCCAGGATGAGCCCATGGTTCACCCAAAAGTGCAGGGAGGCAAAAAACCAAGTGTGCTAGGGAATGGAAGAAATATAGAAGGCAAAGGACCCAGGAGAATAAGGAGAGCAGTCGTAGAACCAGAAATGAATATGCACAGAGAAGAAGGGAGGCCCAACGACAATATGAAAACAACATAGCGGCAAAAGCCAAATCTAACCCGAAGCTGCTATACAGCCACATCAAGAGGAAAACAACAGTCAAGGACCAGGTAATCAGGCTAAGGAAGGAAGGAGGAGAGACATCAAGAAATGACCGTGAAGTATGTGAGGAACTCAACAAGAGATTCAAAGAAGTGTTCACAGAGGAGACAGAATGGGCTCTAGAAAGACGGAGAGGTGGGGCACACCACCATGTGCTGGACATAGTGCACACAACCGAGGAAGTGAAGAGGCTTCTGAGTGAGCTAGATACCTCAAAGGCAATGGGCCCGGATAACATCTCTCCATGGGTCCTGAGAGAAGGAGCTGAGGCACTATGTGTTCCCCTAACAACAATACTCAATACATCTATCGAAACAGGGAGATTGCCTGAGGCATGGAAGACAGCAAATGTAGTCCCAATCTTTAAAAAAGGAAACAGACATGAAGCACTAAACTACAGATCAGTGTCACTGACATGTATAGTATGAAAAGTCATGGAGAAGATTATCAGAAGAGTGGTGGAACACCTAGAAAGAAATGAGCTTATCAACAGCAGCCAACATGGTTTCAGGGACGGGAAATCCTGTGTCACAAACCTACTGGAGTTCTATGACAGGGTGACAGCAGTAAGACAAGAGAGAGAGGGGTGGGTGGATTGCATTTTTTTGGATTGCAAGAAGGCGTTTGACACAGTTCCACACAAGAGATTAGTGCAAAAACTGGAGGACCAAGCAGGGATAACAGGGAAGACACTACAATGGATCAGGGAATACTTGTCAGGAAGACAGCAGCGAGTCATGGTACGTGGTGAGGTGTCAGAGTGGGCGCCTGTGACCAGCGGGGTCAGTCCTAGGACCAGTGCTGTTTCTGGTATTTGTGAACGACATGTCGGAAGGAGTAGACTCCGAATGTCCCTCTTTGCAGATGACGTGAAGTTGATGAGAAGAATTCATTCGATCGAAGACCAGGCAGAACTACAAAGGGATCTGGACAGGCTGCAGACCTGGTCCAGCAATTGGCTCCTGGAGTTCAACCCCACCAAGTGCAAAGTCATGAAGATTGGGGAAGGGAAAAGAAGACCGAAGACGGAGTACAGTCTAGGGGGCCAGAGACTACTAACCTCACTCAGGAAAAAAGATCTTGGGGTGAGTATAACATGAGGCACATCTGAAGCGCACATCAATCAAATAACTGCTGCAGCATATGGTCGCCTAGCAAACCTCAGAACAGCATTCCGACATCTTAATAAGGAATCGTTCAGGACCCTGTACACCGTGTACGTTAGGCCCATATTGGAGTATGCGGCACCAGTTTGGAACCCACTCCTAGCCAAGCACGTAAAGAAACTAGAGAAAGTGCAAAGGTTTACAACAAGACTAGTCCCAGAGCTAGGGGGTATGTCCTACGAGGAGAGGTTAAGGAAAATCGACCTGACGACACTGGAGGACAGGAGAGATAGGGGTAGCATGATAACGGCATGCAAAATACTGAGAGGAATTGACAAGGTGGACAAAGACAGAATGTTTCAGAGATGGGACACAGCAACAAGGGGACACAGTTGGAAGTTGAAGACACAGATGAATCACAGGGATGTTAGGAAGTATTTCTTCAGTCACAGAGTAGTCAGGAAGTGGAATAGTTTGGGAATCGATGTAGTGGAGGCGGGATCCATACATAGCTTTAAGCAGAGGTATGATAAAGCTCACGGTTCAGGGAGAGTGATCTAGTAGCGACCAGTGAAGAGGCGGGGCCAGGAGCTTGGACTCGACCCCTGCAACCTCAACTAGGTGAGTACAACTAGGTGAGTACACACACACACACACACAGGAGCTAAATCCCGACCCCTGCAACCACAATTAGGTGAGTTAGGTGAGTACACACAAGTGTTGCCACATACAGTGTGAGATTTAGTTACCCTCACACAAATAAAAGCACCTAATATCCAAGAACAAAATAGAGCGCATATAGCACCTAACACCGTCAAGGTATCATACACTATGTGCTACACTGTACATACTTACACTGCTTAATGGCATTTCATGTACTAATGACTACTGCTTCTGAACAGCATCTTCTGGTCTCATCAGTGTCCTTGACGATGAGACTGGCGCATAGCCATGCCCGGAGGAACCAGTGACTCCTCACTAGCCATGCCCGGAGGAACCAGTGACTCCTCACTAGCCATGCCCGGAGGAACCAGTGACTCCTCACTAGCCATGCCCGGAGGAACCAGTGACTCCTCACTAGACAACAAATGAATTGTTAGTGTGAATTCTGCCATTATATTGGAGATCTTGTGTACTCTTATGTATTGTCTGTCACATCCACCTCAGGAAACGGTTTAAAACAGTCACTAATGTTATTCCGGCTTTTGCATTTTGGTCTGGTAATGTAACTCAGACTTTTGAAGCAATGACTAATACGTACGTCACTTTCTTTGACTTCTCAATGACTATACCGGTAATATTTCCTGCAGTTAGAATGAAATGGCTGTTGTAAATGTTATCCTGGATGAGGAGAAAGGAAAATATGGTGTGGGAGAGATGTCAATGATACCACCAGAGTCTTTTTGTATTTGTG